CGCTCTGAAAGAACTTGTGACTGACCCAAAGTCACACCAGCAGGTGCATGTGGAGGAGCAGAGAATCAAACCCGGTTCTCCCAGATTAAAGTCCACACTCCTAACCAGTACACCAAACAGGCTCTCACTGTTGGCACATTGGTGACATTGGAGGGCAACGCTCTGGTCTTGGGGCAAAGCTCTACGACAGAGCCTTTTGTTACTGTCCATGGGGTTTTCTTGGCAAAGATACTACCATAGAGTTTTGCCCCAAAACCAGAGCATCGCCCCCCAACACGCTTATGTCATTTCTGGGTCATGTAGTCACACTGCACTTACTTTCAGCATTTCTCTCTGCTCCCTGTAATTTTACCCCCCTCCAAAAAAAAAATACCCTGCCAGTTGTCCGAGGGACCAGGCAACCTTACTCCAAAGTCTCAGGTAGAAAGTCGTTCACATCAACTACTGTAGTTGGTGCAGTGGTTAAGTGCACGGACTCTAATCTGGGAGAACCGGGTTTGATTCCCCACTCCTCCGTTTGCACCTGCTGGATGACCTTGGGCAAGCCATAGTTCTGTCAGAGCTGTCCTTGAAAAAGAGCAGTTTCTGTCAGAGCTCTCTCAGCCCCACCTACCTCACAGGGTGTCTGTTGTGGGGAGGGGAAGGGAAAGGAGTTTGTAAGCCGCTCTGAGACTCCTTTGGGTAGTGAAGGGCGGGGTATAAATCCAATATCTTCCTCTTCTTTTACCTCACAGGGTGTCTGTTGTGGGGAGGGGAAGGGAAAGGAGTTTGTAAGCCACTCTGAGACTCCTTTGGGTAGTGAAGGGTGGGGTATAAATCCAATCTCTTCTTCTTCTACCTCCCAGGGTGTCTGTTGTGGGGAGGGGAAGGGGAAGGAGTTTGTAAGCCGCTGTGAGACTCCTTTGGGTAGTGAATGGTGGGGGTATAAATCCAATCTCTTCTTCTTCTCATCTACTACCTGATCCATTTTAAGTGGATATGCCAGGGATTGGACCTGGGACCTTCTGCATGCCAAGCAGACACTCTGCCACTAAGCCACGACACCTCCCCTTCTTCACACGCCAACCTGAAGCCGCATCAAAGGCACGCACCACTTCATCTTGCAGAGTCCCAGTGTTTTTAAGGCTGCCCGCAGAGCACTGCAAATAATGGCTGCTTTTTTTTTCTGCAGAGAGTTTCACCTTGTTAAAAGTGTATATCAGGCAGAAAGTCCCTAGCAGGGGTCTTCCAACAACAACAGCCTCCCCGACAACGATCGCTGGAGACGGAGACCTGAGCGGCAGTTCAATAACTCAGGCAGCTGCGGCACTGATGTTAAATGGGTTGAATAAATAAAAGCGCTCAGCTCCCAACCGCACCGATTTTCATCTTCACGCTTTTTCAAGGAAAGCAAATGTATCGTCCCAGGGGGAAACAGAAGGAAAGGCACGCGACCCAACACTTCCAGACCGTGGCATTTAGAGACAGCCGTTTGGGCTGCCGGGATATAATTTTCAGACATGACACCTAAAAGGCGCCAAGTGTCGATTCTGACGTGTACCTGAAGCGGCCTTCTACTGAATCAGACCCTCAGTCTATCAAGGTCAGTAATGTCTACTCAGACTGGCAGCAGCTCTCCAGGGTCTCAGGCAGCGGCCCGTAGCCAGGATTTTTAAAGTCAGGGGCATTTAAATTTCTTAGGGGGCACTAGCTAATCAAAAAGAAGAAGAAGAAGAAGAAGAAGAAGAAGAAGAAGAAGAAGAAGAAGAAGAAGAAGAAGAAGAAGAAGAAGAAGAAGAAGAAGAAGAAGAAGAAGAAGATGATGATATTGGATTTATACCCCACCCTTCACTACCCAAAGGAGTCTCAGAGCGGCTGACAAACGCCTTTCCCTTCCCCTCCCCACAACAGACACCCTGTGAGGTAAAAGAAGAAGAAGAAGAGATTGGATTTATACCCCGCCCTTCACTACCCAAAGGTGTCTCAGAGCGGCTTACAAACTCCTTTCCCTTCCCCTCCCCACAACAGACACCCTGTGAGGCAGGTGGGGCTGAGAGAGCTCTTGACAGAAACTGCTCTTTTTCAAGGACAGCTCTGACAGAACTATGGCTTGCCCAAGGTCATCCAGCAGGTGCACTTGGAGGAGTGGGGAATCAAACCTGGTTCTCCCAGATTAGAGTCCGCGCTCCTAACCACGACACCAAAGGAATACCTGGCTCCTTCCCCACACGTGCCGCTGCTCTGGATGGGAAGTCAGGGGGCCTGGCTTGTAAGTCAGGTGGCCTAGCCCCAAGATGCCCCGCCGTGGCTACGGGCCTTCCTTCCTTCACCTTTTACTTGGTCCCTTTAATGGGAGGTGCAGGGACCAAACTCGGGACCCTCTGCAGGCCGAGCAGAGGCTCTTCCACTGAGCCGCAGACCTTTCCTCTTTCACCTACCTCAGGGGTCTTCACCTTATGGCTTTAGAGCCAAATGTGGTCCAGTACAGAACTAAATCCCGCTTTGTAAAAAAAAGAAAATCAAATGCTTAAGTTAAGGTACGTTTGGAGGAGGTATGCTAGAGTCAGCAGTATGTGAAAGGAATGGCAGGCAGAGATTTTTATGGGACTACAGAGCTTAGTAGAAATCCTTCAGAGAGATCTTTATGAGACTAAAGGGATTCTTGGAGAAGCTTTGCAGAAATTGAGGGGCCGTGGCTCAGGGGCACAGCATCTGTCTGGCATGCAGAAGATCCCAGGTTCAGTCTCCAGCATCCCCAGTTAAAAAGGACCAGGCAGCAGGTGATGAGAAAGGGAAAGGAAGAAGTGGAAGAAGAAGAGGAAGAAATTGGATTTATACCCCGCCCTTCACTCGGAGTCTCAGAGCGGCTTACAAACTCCTTTCCCTTCCCCTCCCCACCACAGACACCCTGTGAGGCAGGTGTGGCTGAGAGAGGTTTTTCCAGAACTGTCCTTGAGAGAACAGCCCTAACAGAACTATGGCTTGCCCAAGGTCATCGAGCCAGGTGCAAGTGGAGGAGTTGGGGAATCAAACCCGGTTCTCCCAGATTAGAGTCCGCACACTTAACCGCTACACCAAACTGGTATGTGAGTGCCACCAAGTCGCAAAAGAGATTGTAAGCCGCTCTGGGACTCCTTTGGGTAGTGAAGGGCGGGGTATAAATCCAGTCTCTTCTTCTTCTCTTATATTACCCCTACATTAGAGCAGTCTTCCAGCCCCAGGCAGACCCAGAACATCTCCTGCTTCTATATCCCTTTTGGCTTCTGTCCTTCCTGTCCCTGGTCACTTGGCAGGGTTGCCGAATCTGGGTTGGGAAATCCCAGAGCTTTGGCAGTGGATCCTGAGAAGGAGAGGGACCTCAGCAGGGTGTAAAACCACAGAGTCCATCCTCCAAAGCAACCATTTTCTCCCAAAGGAGCTGAGCTGTGTAATCTGGAGAGCAATTGTAAATCTGGGAGCTCCCCAGGCCTCACCTGGAGGTTGGCAACTGCATGGCTTGAGGTGCATTTGGAGGGTTGGGGACAGAAGACCACAACTTCCTATATCTTCATTCTTCTGCTTCAAAAAATCAGCAAGGCTACCTAAGACGTTCCGGAAAGGCTCCGACTTGCCTTTGTGGCCGGCTGCTAACCAAGAGAGCCAGTTTGGTGTAATGGTTAGGAGCGCAGACTCTAATCTGGGAGAACCGGGTTGGATTCCCCACTGCTCCACATGCAGCTGCTGGTGTGACTTTGGGTCAGTCACAACTTCTTTCAGTCGTTATTTCAGAGTCGTTCTCTCAGGAGCAGTTCTCTAAAGAGCTCTCTCAGCCCCACCTCCCTCATAGGGTGGCTGTTGTGGGAAGGGGAAGGGAAAGGAGTTTGTAAGTCGCTTTGAGACTCATTTGGGTAGTGAAGGGTGGGGTATAAATCCAGTCTCCTCCTCCTCCTCTTCTTCTTCTTCTCATTTTCCTTCTCCTTCTCCTTCTAGTTCAGAGCTTATTTTGTCCAAAGAGGGTAAGGTTTTTGTTTGTAAGAGCTCTAATTAAGAAGCCAGACAATTTAAAAGCATCACCGTCGGGCAGAACCCCAGGAGTCGGAGAGGGATGACTCGGCTCCTTCCCAGCCGAGAGGCGCAAGAATCGATCGGTACAGCACTGGTGGACAGCGGATCCGTCGGCAACTCAAATAAATAATTAAGCTTGCTCCGAAAGGGGTGACTCCCGGGACGGAGGCCGCTGTGCGACTGGCGGAAGCCTGAATTCATCACGACTTCCCCGTATCCCTCCTCAGCAGGCCTGCGGTTTGGCCAGATGCCTCACGGGCTAAAATAGTGGTCTGGGCTGCTTCTTTCCCCGGGGGGGGGTAGGAAGTTCTGGGCAGCCTTCGAGGCATCAGTTCCCTTTGCAGGAGAAGGTCGCTGGTGTTCAGGAGGGCTTTGCAATAATCTGTTCTGCAGTTTACAGCAATAGGCAGAGAGGGAGGCCGGATTTCGACCTGGCAAAAGACTAGGGATGCCAACCTCCAGGCAGGAACCAAAGTACAGCTGTGAATTAGGGTGCTGGAGAAGACTCTTGAGAGTCCCCTGGACTGCCAGGAGATCGAATCAGTCCATCCTGAAAGAAATCAACCCCGACTGTTCCCTGGAAGGCCAGATACTGAAGCTGAAGTTCAAATACTTTGGCCACCAAATGAGAAGGGAGCCCTCGCTGGAGAAGACCCTGATGCTGGGAAAGACTGAAGGTCAAAGAAGAAGGGGACGGCAAAGGAGATCAAATCAGTCAATCCTGAAAGAAATCAACCCTGACTGTTTCCCAGAAGGCCAGATCCTGAAGCTGAAGCTCAAATACTTTGGCCACCAAATGAGAAGGGAGCCCTCGCTGGAGAAGACCCTGATGCTGGGAAAGACTGAAGGTCAAAGATGAGATGGTTAGACATACACTGTCTAACCTTCTCTGTGAAGCCACAGAGAGAAGTCAAGAAGAGGTATTGCACTGTGGTGCCACCAACAAGCCAGTTTGGTGTAGTGGCTAAGAGCAGCGGACTCTAATCTGGGAGAACCGGGTTTGATTTCCCCACTCCTCCACTCGCACCTGCTGGATGACCGTGGACAAGCCAGAGTTCTGTCAGGGCTGTTCTCTCAAGAACAGTTCTGGAAAGAGCTCTCTCAGCCCCACCTACCTCACAGGGTGTCTGTTGTGCGGAGGGGAAGGGAAAGGAGTTTGTAAACTGCTCTGAGACTCCTTTGTGTAGTGAACGGTGGGGTATAAATCCAATCTCCTCTTCTTCTTCTCTTTCACAAAAAATACAAGAAGTCTGCAGGACAGCAGGGCGCTGCTGTGTGAGGAAGGAGGCCAGGCTTGCTTGTATACTGAGCAGCACAAATTCGTCTATGGTCGAAGAAACTGGCTCGTTGCCTCTAAAGTTAAATGTCTTCACTCGCCTCGACCACAAAAGACTTACCCGTCGCCTCCGCTCCTCCCACCAGGATATCCCGCTGGATCTTGCCATCGTCTTCATCCAGCGCGAGCCAACGGTAGCAGGGGAACTCGTAGTTGGCTTTGTTGCCGATATCTTCAATGAGGACCTTGGGTGAAAGCAGAAGAGAACATAGGCAGAGACGTTCAGAGGGGAGGACAGATAAAAGGAAGTCCTTCTTCACCCAAAGAGTGATGAACACATGGAATTCACTGCCACAGGAGGTGGTGGCGGCTACAAGCATGGACGGCTTCACGACGAAACTGAAAAAAAATCTGGAGCAGAGGTCCATCCGTGGCTATGAACCACAAGGTATAGATAGGAACTCTCCATCTGGGGCAAGGGATGCTCCGTATTCTTGGTGCTTGGGGGTGGGAAGGGCAACAGTGGGAGGGCTCCTAGTGTCCTGGCCCCACTGCTGGACCTCCTGATGGCCCCTGGTATTTCTGGTCACTGTGTGACACAGAGTGTTGGACTGGATGGGCCATTGGCCTGATCCAACATCGGCTTCTCTTATGTTCTTATATGGAGCAGAGGTCTATCAGTGGCTGTTAGCCACAAGGTATAGACCAGAACTCTCAGTCTGGGGCAAGGGACACTCTGTATTCTTGGTGCTGGGGGGGGCAACAGTGGGAGGGCTTCTAATGTCCTGGCCCCACTGGCAGGCCTCCTGATGGCACCTGGTCTTTTTGGCCACTGTGTCACACAGAGTGTTGGACTGGATGGGCCTCTCGCCTGATCCAACATTGGCATCAGGAAGAGCACAAGGAACTCACCTTGAGTCTCAAGGAGAGAGACGGACTATGAACATGCAAACGTTTCGTACAGGCATCATGTTCGTTCCATCTAAAAACCATAGAGTAAGTCCTGGGGATTTCAGTTTATCAGCACAAACACCATGTGTTGGCCAGAACTGTCCCTCCTTATAGAAAGGCTAACTTATTTCTCAGTGTAGTGATGCCAAAAGAAGGGTGGGATATGTTTAAAGAAAGAACCGAAGAGACTACAGAATGGATGATAAATGTGGCAGACAGCAACACGGAAGTGTTGGGCAGCCCCAGTTCTGAGCGAGCATCAAGAGGTGGCACAGCTGAGAAGCGTCAAAGGACCATAGCCCTCTCGAAGGCCCACAACCAACCATGACCCAACTGTCCCCAGCTGAAAATGGGGAATTGTCCCTTAAGAACACAAGAAATGCCCTGCTGGATTACAGCAGTGGTCCGTCTAGTCCAGCATCCTGTCTCACACAGTGGCCAACCAGTTCATCTGGATGGCCAAAAAGAGGGCGCATGGAAGTCAAGGCCTCCATAAGAACACAAGAAGAGCCCTGCTGGATCAGACCAGGGTTCCATCTAGTCCAGCATCCTGTCTCACACAGTGGCCAACCAGTTCCCCTGGAGGGCCAACCACAGGGCAGAGAGGCTGAAGCCTTCATAAGAACATCAGAAGAGCCCTGCTGGGTCAGACCAGTCGTCCATCTAGTCCGGGATCCTGTCTCACACAGTGGCCAACCAGTTCCCCTGGAGGGCCAACCACAGGGCAGAGAGGCTGAAGCCTTCATAAGAACATCAGAAGAGCCCTGCTGGGTCAGACCAGTCGTCCATCTAGTCCAGCATCCTGTCTCACACAGTGGCCAACCAGTTCCCCTGGAGGGCCAACCACAGGGCAGAGAGGCTGAACCCTGATGCTGCCTCCTGGCTTTGGAATTCAGAGGGCTTAGTGCCTGTAAATGTGGAGGCTCCCCTGAGTTGCCATGGCTAGTAGTAGCAGCAGAGATCCCTGAGATGCGCCAAGGAACTCTAGAACAATCTCCTTTTTCCCTGTAGGAGAACCACCTGGAGAAGGGAGTAAGGCACTCCATCAAAGCCAGTGAGCCTAAAAAAGTCACATGCTTTCTCCCAGGGCAGGAGGAATACAGTACAGGGGGGGGGGGGCAACCTCCAG